TTTTAATGGCTTAAGAATCACTGGGAAAAAGCATATTGGTTTATTTTTTGCCTAATACTGGAGTACATAGTTGGTAACGCAGCAATATTTTTCCCCTATACAGCAGTGGCTTCTATGTTGCTCTCTGATGGTGGATGCTCTGCCACAGGTATTTCACATACCAGTAGGGTTATCCATGATAGCTCTCAGCATACCTTCCAGAGTAACAGACTAGGACGAAAGACCTGGCAATCTACTCCTTAAAAAAGCTGACCAGTGCAAACTTCAGGATAGCAGCGAAACAGTGTCTGATATAGTACCAGAAGATGAGCCCCTCACGTTTGAAGGCACTCAAAATATGACTTAAGAAGAGCTGTCTCCTCAAAGTAGACCAACCTTAATGGTGTAGATGGAGTAAAGCTTTCAGGACCTTCATTTGCTGATGTGGCGTGACTCAAAATGGAAGGGAAAAAAAGAACTGCAAGCATTTATTAATTGGAACATAAAATGTACAAAAAAATGAATTTAGGAAATTTGAACATTGTCAAAAGTGAAACAATACATAAAGAACTAGGCACTAGTGATCTGAAGTGGACTGGTCTATGCTGGGAATGGCAAACTGAAGAGGAACAGCATTATATTCATTATCAAAAAGAACATTTGAAGACTTATCTTGAATTACAGCACTGTCAGTGATAAGGATATTGTTGATACACCTACAAGGAAGACCAGTTAATATTGCTGTTCAGATTTACGCACAGACTCCTGGTGTGGTGCTGTCGAATGAGTACTGGATTGTGAACCAGGCCGACAGCTCAAACCCACCAGGTGCTCCTTGGAAACCCTGTACAAGGTTGCTATGAGTTTGGATCGACTCAATGGCACTTAATAGCAGTGCCAAACAAAGATGAAGAAATGAAAGATTTTTACCAACTTCTGCAGTCTGAAGTTGATTAAACATGCACTCAAGATGCATTGGTAATTACTGGTGGTAGGAATGCACAAGTTGAAAACAAAGAAGGATTCGTAGCTGGGAAATATCCTTGGTGTCAAAAAAAAAAAATGACACCATATATCACATGACAGAATGTTGCAAGACCAACAATTTATTCATTGCAAATACCTTTTTTCAACAACATTAACAACTATGTAAGTGTACCTCACTGGAGCGAATACACAGGCATCAAATTGACTATATCTGTTAAAAGAGACAATGGCGTTCAATATCATCCCTCAAAACAAGACCAGAGGCCAATCGGGTAACAGACCATCAATAACTCACTCACATGCAAGTTCAAGTTGAAACTGAAAAAAAAAAGAAATCCAACAGAGGCAAAGTACAATCTTAAGTATGTTGTTGTTGTTAAATGCCATTAAACCGGTTTTGACTCATAGTGACCCTGTGTAGGGTTTCCAAGGAGAAGCTGGTGGGTTTGAACTGACAACCTTGCAGTTAACACTTCAATGTTTATACTACAGCATCACACCAGGACTCCACCTTGAGTATACCCCACATTAATTTAGAGACCCTCTCAAGAATAGATTTGATGCATTGAACAATAATGAACAAAGACCAGAAGAGTTGTGGAATTACTTCAAGGACATCATAGGTGAAGAAAGCAAAAAGTCATCATAAAGGCAGAAAAGACAAAAAAAAAAAAAGACCAAAATGAATGTCAGAAGTGACTCTGAAACTGTTGAATGTAGCATAGCTAAAACAAATGGGGAAAAAATGATGACATAAAAGAGAGGAATAGAAAGTTTCAAAGGCAGCTGAAGCAGACAAAATAAAGTCATACAACAAAATGTGCAAAGACCTGAAGTTAGGAAACCAAAAGGGAAAAAGATGCTCAACATTTCTCAAGCTGAAAGCACCGAAGTTCTTTCAGCAAGTCTTGACGAGGTGCAGTGTTGAAAAATTCTATGGACAAAATACCGAATGACTCAGAAAGCATCAAAGTAAATGGAAGGAATACACAGAGTCACTTTACCAAAAAGAACTGGTCAGTGTTGAGTCATTTCAGGAGGTAGCATATGATCAAGAGCTAATGGTGTTGAAAGAAGTAAAAAAACAAGGCTCCAGGAATTGGCAAATACCAATTGAGATCTCTCAGCGAATGAATGCAATACACAAAGTGCTCACTCACTTATGATTAATGAACTAGAAGATATCCATGTCTGTGCTCATTCCAAAGAAAAGCAATGCAACAGAATGTGGAAATTATCAAATAATATCACATGCAAGTAAAATTTGGCTGAAGACGATTCAAAACAGTTACAGTAGTATATTAACAGGGAACTGCCAGAAATTTGAGCCACATTCAGAAGACATGGAATTAGGAATATCATTGCTGATATCAGATGGAGCTTAGCTAAAAGCAGAGAATACCAGAGAGATATTTGCCTATGTTTTATTGACTATGCAACTGTGGATCATAAATTATGAGAATAACATTGTAAAGAATGGCAATTCCGGAATACACAGTTTTGCTCATGAGGAACCTGTACATACACCAAAAGCCAGTCATTCAAGCAGAACAAGGAGATCTTGAGTGGTTTAAAACTAGGAGAGGTAAGCATCAGAGTAGTATCCTTTTACCGTACTTACTCAAACTGTAGGCTGAGCAAACAATCCTGAAAGCCGGGTTATATGAAAAAGAACATGGCATCAGGATTGGAGGACGCTTCATTAACAGCTGTGATATGCAGATGATACAGCCTTGCCTGCTGAAAATGAAGAGGACTTGAAGCACTTACTGGTGAAATTAAAGACTACAGCCTTCATATGGATTACACCTCAACATAACAAAAACAAAAATCCTCACAACTGGACCAATAAAAAAACATCATGCTAAATGGAGAAAAGATTGAAGTTGTCAAGAATTTCATTTTACTTGGATCCACAGTCAATGCCCATGGAAGCTGCAGTCAAGAAATCAAACAATTTGGGGGCAGATCTGCTGCAGAAGACCTCTTAAAGTGTTAAAAAGCAAAGATGTTGGTTTGAGGATTACAGTGCACCTGACCCAAGCCATAGTATTTTCAGTCACTTCATATACTTGTGGAGGGAGACCAAAGAAGAATGTATTGCCTTTAAAATATGGCACTGAGAAAGATTATTAAATATACCATGGACTGCCAGAAGAATGAACAAAACTGTCTTGAAAGAAATACAACCAGATAGTCATTTGAAGTGAGGATGGCACTTAGTTTATACCAGTCCCTGGAGAAGAGCGTTATGACTGGTAAAGTGGAGGGTTCGCGAAAAAGCGGAAGACCTTCAACAAGATGGATTGAAATTGTGAAAGCAACAAAGGCCTCAAACATAGCAACAGTTGTGAAGATGGCACAGGACCAGACAGTGATTCTTTCTGTTGTTCATAGAGTTGCTACAAGTTGTAAGCATCCCCACAGCACCTAGCAACGAAGTGAATAAGCTTATGAACGTAATCGAGAGCAAACACCTCCAGTTGGACAGTTGTGTGGACACTTCAGTTATTCACTGAGTTTAGCAAGCTAGAAGTTAGTGTTCTTAACTTCAGGAGTGTGGATCACATTCCTTGACTGCACCAGTTGTCAGCCTGGGAATGATTTTGCTCTCTCCCCCAACCCAGAGGACATTTGGCAATGGCTATATCTAGAGACATTTTGTGGAGTCCTGTGTTGTGCTATAGGATAAGCACTAGATCTTCAGGGTCAGCAGTTCAAACCCACCAGTCGGCACCTACTCGACACCACTTAACAGCTAACAAGAAACAATTTTGGTTGTCCTCACTGGAGAGACACAACGGGTACTTGGTGGATGGAGGCCAGGGATGCTTCCAAGCATCCTACACAATACAGTCCCTTACAACAAAGAATTAACAAATCCAAAATGTCAACAATACTGAGGTTGAATAGCCCTGTTTATGGCAAGCTTCAAAAGATTGTTCAGTGCCTCCTTTTGTTCATCGCGAATTAAAATGAGTTGGGTTGAGGCTTGGATAGAAGGTCTAGAATATTCTGGGGCAACTAATCAGTGTCTTTGCCTTCCTGAAGGAGATAGAGCTGAGCAAAGAGTCTCAATCATGGTGTGCTGTCTCCATGCAACAGAGCACCCCTGCTTTGAACTATTTTACACATTGGCCTTTGGAATAACACGTAATTTGTTGGGAAAGAAGGAAAAGGGGAGGAAAAAAAAAAACTAGGGGCTAGTTCTCAGCTTAAAAAACATTTTGAGACTGGTTCTACTTCTTCATTTCACAGGTGGAAAGACTGAGGGTTCCCAGGGCACTGGCCTAATGGTCTTCCTAGTAGTTATGACAAAGTTGAGCTAGACTCCTAGTCTTCTGACTTCTAGATGTGAGTCTGGTACTCTCTGCTGGTCATGTGGTCCGATTAGAACAACGGTGGGGTGTGATTGTTGGCACGGCATTTGTGGTTGTGGTGGATGAGCTCTACTTCCTGTGACATTTGTGCCCAAAGTTTTGCGTATATAAAACCCTGCACCCTGTCATGATACACTGTTGCAAGTGTCCCCTGTTTTACCATCAAGAAACTAACAACCCTAATTTCCTTTTCAGGACTGTAGATGTCATGTCACTCCCTTTCTTCCCCAGGTGTTCAGCTCCCGACAGGCACTGAACGGCCACGCCCGCATCCACGGTGGCACCAACCAGGTGGCCAAAGCCCGGGCTGCTGTCCCCTCTGGGAAACAGAAGCCTAGCAGTGCCCAGAGCGGGTACTGCTCAGTGAAGAGCTCGCCCTCCCATAGTACTACCAGCGGCGAGACCGACCCCACCACCATCTTCCCCTGCAAGGAGTGTGGCAAGTAGGTGATATTGAGCCTGGGATGGAGTCTAGGCTTAGGGGACCAGGCCCAAGTGGTCTAGGATTTCTTCAGCTGGACAAAAAACCCAGACTCTCCGAACTATCCCTCATGTCACCCTTGAGGTTCCATGGTGCCTCGAGTGGATGGACCTTATCTCCGACTCAAAATATGGTCATGATTGTTTTATAGCTGATGAAGGTGGATATATCCAAAGAAGAACCTCTCATGGCAAAAGTTTATTCTTTTCCAGAAATGGTGGGTGGGACAATGATTCCCACTTCTTCCTTCATACCCAGCCCATATTCGCTGTTGTAACTCTCCTTACATCCCCAGCACCTTGTCTGGGTCACTCTATAGCAGGCATGGCCCATTCAGGGCACTGCAACCTCCGCTGGTCCCCACAGCTCCCAGAGCAGATATCACTGATCAATGATCACACTCTTTGCTGCCACATTAAGACATGGCTTCAGAAGCCTTTTCATTGTGGCTCAACTAATTGATCAGAGTTCATACATGAGATGAAACCTATTTTTCACCCCTTCTCTTCTAAGTATCACTTAAAACCACAACTAAGCAGAATAAAGTAACAATGAGTAGTAATAATCCTGGTATGGATTATAAATATTAATAGTATTAATAATTAATAGTGATGTTGTTGTCGTTAAGTGCCATCACTTGTTGTTGTTAAGTTCTGACCCATAGCGACCCTATATATGGTTTCTGAAGAGCGGCTGGTGAGCTTGAACCACCAACCTTGCAGTTCAAACGGCTTTGCAGTCCAGCGCATTAACCCACAGCGCCACACCAGGACTCCAATTAATAGTAATTGTAATTATTAATTTAATAGTAACTGCCTTTTGGAGTCTTGGTGTGGCACTGTAGGATAAGCACTGAACTGCTAACCTCAAGGTTGGTGGTTCAAACCCACCAGCTCTATACAGGATCATGATGATTCAGAACTGACTAGATGGCATTGAACAAGAACAGTAATAATGATAGCTAATTAGCATTTATGGAGCGCTTACTTTGTTACGTATTTTATGTGCATGAAATCATTAAATCCCCACAAGGGTATTGTTTCTTTATCCTTGATAAGAAAAATGGAACTTTATATTTGCCCTAGTCACACTGCCAGTAAAGATCAGCAATGAGAATTGAACCCAGCTTTGTCTGAACGCAGAGCCTGGGCTCCTCCACTGCTGTCTCCTGTTGGTTTGGTTTGCATATGTATTTACTTCAGATCGAAATGAAAACTTCCCAAATGATAAAGGTGAGCTCACTGGTGTTAAGACACACAGTCCCCTCCCTGTGCTTCCAGTCCATAATCCCGGTTTCTCAGGGAGCCTGCAGGATATGGGAAAGTATGACATTGTCATGGAGACTTGTTGAGTTTCTTCCCATAATCCCCAGTGCCTCAGATGTGAAGAGAAATGGTACCAGCCCACTAGGCAGTTGCTAAAACTTTGCCTAAGAAATAATCCCTAGGTTCAAGTGCACCAGCTGCTCCTTGGAAACCCTATACAGGGTCACTATAGGTCGGAATCGACTCGACGGCACTTGACAACAACAACATAGAGATTATAGATTACTTCAGACAGTTCAATAGTAACTGCCATTTGGAGTCCTGGTGTGGTACTGTAGGATAAGCACTGGATTACTAACTGCAAGGTTGGTGATTTAAAGCCACCACATGCTCCTTGGAAGCGCGTACAAGTCAGAAGTGGCTCAACCACACTTCACAATGACAACAAAGCCATTTATTTATCAGGTACTCACGGTGTGCCTGGCATTATTTGTTTGTTTTTTAAAATAATGTTTATATATATATATATATTGGTTACTTGAACATTTAGAATAATCCTATGAGATATAGGTACTTCTAGTAGCTTCTCTTGTTTCACAGGAGAAGGCAGTGAGGCATAGAAAGGTTAAGTCACTTGCCGGGATGCACAGCAAATGAATGACCCAGCACGGACTTACATCATGCGGGCAGTGTTAGGACAGTGATTAGGGAGCTAGACTTTAGAGTCTGCTCCCACCCCCAGGAAGAGTAGCTTCATTTTCCCCACCTGTCAAATGGGAACATTAATACTTAACCTCCTGGGGTTGTTGGGAGGATTTGGGGAAATCAGATACGATCCATCATCATCATCATCCCATTGCCATCAAGTCGATTCTGACTCATAGCAACTCTATAGGACAAAGGAGAGCTGCCCCGTGAAGTTTCCCAGGGTGTGCTTCCCTCCGAGCAACTGATAAATTCAAGCCACCAACCTTTCAGGTAGCAGCCCAGTGCTTAATCACCAAAGTGTCTTCAAAACATAATTAGTACAAATATAAATAAATGGTGTGTGTGTGTATATATATATACATATATATATATATACATATGTATATGTATATACAATGTAAAAGCTGGCCCCAAGGTCTGTGCTCTGAGTCCCTACACCATGCTGCCTCTCATTGAGGCTAAGGTGAATTGCCATTGGCTGGTCTCTCTTCCCCTCCATGAAGTGTGAGGATGGAAGAAGTAATTTCTAGTGTCCATCCCCTCCTCTGTGCCCGGACATGACCTCATCTTCACATCACGCAGCCCCTGGCTGATCATTAGGTCTATTTACTTGAATTAAGGAAGCTCTCAGTTTTTCCTGGGGTAGAAGTCTAGTGGGGTGCCACTAGACATTGTAGTCTTGCTAGTTTCCCTCAGGGAGAAGCCAGCCACTCCCTCAGCTCAAATGGGCTATAACTTCGTATTCCACCAGGTGGAGACAAAGGACATTTTAACAAACAAAAATTAGTCTTTAGAACTCTGTCTTTCAGTGGCCTCCGTTGATTTTTTTTTTTTTTATCTTGTTTTCATGTTTCTTGGGACGTATTTCTCCCATAATGTAAGATTTTGTGGAAAATAGAAATATCATCTGTGGTTTGCCAGGTTAGAAATAGCATGCAGTAAACGTTCACAGAATGCTGCTTTTTCCTGCTGAATTGATGCTCGTTACATGAAACAGTTTTCAGCACACCCAAGTAGAGTTGTGACTCACCAGCTCTATTTGACTCTGTCTTAGAAATCAGTGTGGGGTTTTTTCCTTCATGTGCTCAGGAATAAATATAAAGTATCTACAACACCCTCTCCCCAGAAGCAGACTGTTCCACTTTTGAGCAAACTTTTTCCTTCTGAAAAAGATCCAGAAATGAAATATTTTAGGCTTTCTTTGCAAGCCATCCTATCTCGGTCACAAAGACTCAGCTGTACTACTGTAGTATAAAAGTAGCTATGGGCAATATGTAAATGAATAGATATAGCTTTGTTCCGGTAAAATATTACTTATGAAAACAGATGATGGGCTGGATCTGGTCCATTGGCCACAGTTTGCAGACCTCTGATTTAGAGAACTAATCTCCAAAAGGTGGTATCTTTTATCTCAGCCACAACATTACCTCAGCAGTCTGGATAGTTTGGGCCCTGTCATTCTTTATCTAGGGGACAGGCTACTCTTTGTAATGTAGGATGTCTGAGCATCCTTGGCCTCTACCCACTACATGGCAGTAGTACCTCTCCCCAGTTATGACAACTAAAAATGCCTCCAGGCATTGCCACATGTCCCCTGGGAGGACCTCACTTGAGAACCATTATTTTAGCTTAAGGCAAACAGGAAATGATGACAATATGATGGCCCGCAAAAAGTGATCTCAGAAGAAAAAGTCATCCACTGAGGTGGATGCAGCTCAGAAGTAGAGTGAAGACAGACAATGGTCCATTGGATCTGGCTTCACAGAATTATTGGTGACTGTGAGAAGAGCAATCTCACTGAAGTAGAGGGGCCTCAGTCTGATGAAAGAGAGTTGAAGACAGAGTGACACACCAAGTGTGTTCATTTGGGCTCTGGAGGAATTGAAGCAAAGGCCAGAGGCAGATGATGGAGGCCATCAGAGCTGGTTGGGGGAGTCTCCAGCCAAGAGGGTGTGATGAATGCTGACGAGGCTTAGGAAACTGAAGGTGGAGGGAGGGCATGCTCTCCAGACTACAGATGGCCTTTGAGAATTCATTTTCCATCGTTAAAGGAAGAAGGCATGACGCTCCTCCATAAATGAGTTCCCTGCTCCTGGAAGAAGTTAGGGTTACTGTGACAGGTCACCAGGGAAGAAGGTCCTGGGAGCTGAGAAGCAGCTCAATCCACCTCAAACCCTATTCCCTATAAGACATGCTGGTTTCCAAGAACTTGGATTCCCTCCTCAATCTCTCATCCTTCTTTTTTCTTCACTTTTAGGGTCTTCTTCAAGATCAAAAGTCGAAATGCACACATGAAAACCCACAGGCAACAGGAGGAACAACAGAGGCAAAAGGCTCAGAAAGCGGCTTTTGCAGCTGAAATGGCAGCCACCATTGACAGGACTACAGGGCCGGTGGGGACACCGGGGCTGCTGCCCTTGGACCAGCTGAGCTTGATCAAGCCCATCAAGGACGTGGACATCCTCGATGACGACGTGGTCCAGCAGTTAGGAGGCGTCATGGAAGAGGCTGAGGTGGTGGATACCGACCTCCTCCTGGATGATCAAGATTCAGTTTTGCTTCAGGGGGACACAGAACTATAAAGCCCCTGCCGCTTAGAGACAGTGGAATCCATGGCCTCCGTCTTCATTAATCAGGAAATCTGGGACTGCCTGCTTGTTTTGTAACCATTTTAAACTACCTGTTTAAAAAGTGGTCATTTTATTCAGGTTTGGGGAGGGGGGCGATTCGTTTGATTTTCCTTTTATTTAAAACAACAAAAAAAAATTTGTTTGGTTGGGATGGGGGGTGGTTGGGGGGAATAAATAATTGGCACAAATATCTTTAAGAGGTGTTTCATCTGGGCTCTATTCTCCTGCAATCATTCCTGGCAGGTAATGAACCTGACGTTTATGTTCCATTTGCTTTCAGGTGTCCACCATCCTGGTTGCCTTTTATCCCAAAGTTTGGTGTGAGTGTGTGTGTGCATGCGTGCGTGAGTATGTGTGTGTGTGTGAGATGCAGGCTCCCCACTCTATTCTGGGGATCTTGGGCCATCCTTTCTCAGCAAGAGTTATTTTTCTTCTGTTCTGACCTCATTCTGTAATTTGCAATGAACCTGGTGTCTGTTCCAGTAGACTATATGCAAAGGGTAGCTTTTCCAGCGAGCAAAGCAAGCCCTCGTGTTCAACTTTCCTCTATCAAGTACATGCATCATTTGAAGAGTTGACCAAACATGAAAAGCAATGTTCACTCTACCTGGCCTGTCCCTTGTTGACCTAATTACAGAAGTGAGCACTGCATGACCTCAGGCCTTCACTCCTCCCTCCCTGCAAAAGGACTTGCCTAGTTTGTAGGGCAGCCAGGGCCACACCCACATCCCTAGCAAAGGCTGCAGAGCTGTCTTTCAGTAAGAGCTGACTGGAGACCCTTCCAGAGGCAATTAACCCCAACTGTACAATCACCAGGGTTATAAAGAATGCTGTTGGTTTCCAGAGAGGGCGGATGAGGACCACATGTTCAAGTACCGGGAATGCCAGGAAGTGTTCTTTTACCCAAAGATGAGATCACAAGAATCTACTTACTTTCTTCTTTTTTTTTGGACACTTAATGGTCAGTGGAATTCTGAAATTACTTTATGCCATTTGGAAATACTGTGAAACCTCATTCACTAGGATTTTCACTGAAATTCATATATGCTGGGCTGGCTAACCTTGACATTAGCTATGAGAAAAAGGGTTTTCTAACAAAGGGATAACAAATACAAGGGAAATAGCATTGAAAGCCAGCAAAAAATGGTTTCAGATACCACTTTAGCTACAATGTTTGCATTCCAACAATGAATGTATTCATTACATGCCATTTACCAAAGCACTTGTAGAATTCTCCAGGCTGCATAATTTTGCCTCTTCCTGTTCTTGTCCCAGGGTTGCTATTTGGACTTGAAGGTAATAAACCTATAATCCTTCAGAAATGTCCTTTAGCTCAGGCTTCTGTGTGAGTCAGACTGATCTAGCCCACTTTTAGGAGAGAAGCGGCTCTGGCACACAGAAGACCCTGCCTCTCAGCTCTCACATTATTGCTAAGACCCCCTGAAGCAGGTGTTTTCAGATCTTCCCCCAGCCTAGACAGGCTTGTTCCCCAGCTCCATGTTCAATGTGGGGACCATGCTGCCACACTTGGCCAGCAGCTTAATAGCCTAACATTGGAGAGAAAATCCTCAGCAATGTGAGGATAGGGCCAGGGCATTTTTGACGTTTACAAAAGCATTAGCACATCATTGGGAAGCCAGCTGTGACCCACTGCGGCCCCACATGGGGGCAGTATTCTCAGAATCTCAGGAAAGCCAGGGACAGAAGAAAAACACAAGATTCTTTTCCATCCTTCTGTTTTCAGAAAAGAGGTTTTGGAGGTTTCCCTCATCTTTTCTTTGGGGAAAAAACAAAATCTTTAATTTAGTGCCATTTCAGCTCGATTATTGTACCTTAAGTTTTAGCTAAAGTGGTTTTGAAGTAAGAATTTACCTTGACAGTAGATACCAACTTTATAGCAAAACTATTACAGAACTGTTCTGGCTGTCATAGTGTCGGCTGATATCAGCAGATGGAGTAGGCCCTTGTGACCACTTCCCTCCACTTACTGGTGTCTGGGAGTGACTCCAGAATGGATCTGCTCCAGGGTCTCTGGAAGCTTATCTATCTAAGGAGCAAACACCCAGAAAAATGTTTATAAAGCACATGCATTTCCTCTATTTGGAGACTTGCTCAGCTGTTCTGGTTTTAAACATTAAGAATAAACTGAGTTGCCAAGGTAAAAATAAAATGCACAATTTCATTTTAGTTTTTCATGCAGCACAACGTAAGGAGTTTTGACTCAAAATAACCAAAGAACTCCTCCTTAATGAGACAGTTCAAATCCCTGAATTAGTATTTCTTGACAGTATCAACTTAAAAGAATTGACTTTGTGGTAATAGATTGCACTTTTTTTTCCCCCCCGAAACAATTCAGCCTGCATGTATGTGTTATATTTTTGCTTCCCCAGCCCCACCCCACCCCCCAAAGAACATTCCTTTCCAATGTCTTCAACACAGTTACTGTCTACAATCAGATGGTTTTTCATTAGTACTGAATTTAGACCTCTTTGGGAAAGTGTATATATAAAAAGTTAACAGATATATTTTATGGAAAAACCCATCTTATTTTCAAATATATTTAACTGCTGTTATATTTTATTAGAGGAAGGATGTAAATATTTTCTAGGAGTTCTATTGTAAAGAAAAGTATTTTTGAAAAAAAAAAAAGAACCAACTTAATGTAATAAAAACAAAAACATTTTTAAATAGTGGTTGTGGCTGCTTCCTGTTCTGGCTTCGTTATCTTCTATTCTCAGCAACTGACTTGCATGCCTTCCCATATCTGGATGTAATTTATTCACGTTTGCACTATTATAAGTTGACATCATGATACCCAATGTGCTTAACTGTATTTTCCAGGAATGCAGGTGCCTTGGTTCCTATCAAGAGCACCATGTATAGCTTTTCTTTTGTAATGTGTGTATTTTTAATAAGGATTTTATGTAACATTTTGGGAAAAAAAAAAAAAAAAGAGGACAGTATTTTGTAGTGAATTTTATAATAACATTTTGCTAAAAATGTTTCTTCCTAGGTCAGTTTTTGTTAAGATGAACCAAAAGTCTTATTTTACCAGGGGTTTAAAAAAAAAAAGTGTGAAGCTTGAAAGAAAAGTTATATTTAAACATATGTAACAAATAAAGATATTTTATAGATTTGTCCTAAAAAGGTGCATTCCTTAAAAAAGGGGGGGGTCTAGGTTGGGGGGTTTTTTGTGGGGTTTTTTTTTCCCACGAGTGATAAACTTTTGTTTTCTTTAAATTATTATGATACTTTTTCAGAAAGAGAACCAGGAGGATTTAGCTTAAAAGGTGCCAGTCATTAACCTTCTTCAAAATCTATTTCAGTTCCTATAGATGGGCATTCATCAGATAGACATGTAACCAAACAGACACTGTTCTATTTATTTGTGAAAACCTGATTGAATATTGCATTAGCTGCTCTGAAAATAAAATATTCTCTTTTTGAGTTTCATTTGGCTTAATTATTCCTTCTTTCTAGCCGCTGAAATGACTTCTCAACGCTTCACAAATACTAATGTACCTGTTAGTTGGTTTCTATAGCCCTGTTTAGAGACCTCCTTGGACTGAATGTTCATCAAAGTGCCTGACCACACTGGAGGCCAGGACAGACATTTTTGCTACCCAAGCTATGGGTGAGCCGTTGAAGTTTGTAAAATTGGTGGACTCGATTGCTAACTGAAATGTTGATGGTTTGAACCCACCAGCCATTCTGTAAGAGGAAACGACCTGTCGATCTTCTAGTTAAAAATTGAACCAGGTGTTGTTGAGCAGATTCCAACTCATTGTGACTCTATGTGACAGGAGAAATGCCCCAGAGGATTTCCTAGACTGTAATGTTCATGGGGATTCCTGGTGTGGCTCTGCAGGATAATGCACTGGACAGCAAGGTCAGTTTCAACTACAAGATCGGCAATTCAAACTCACCTGCTGCTCCTCAGAAACCCTATATCCCTATGTAGGGTTTCTCTGAGTCGGAACCAACTCAATGGCACTTAACAACAACAAGAATCTTTATGGAGGACCCATAGTGGTGGTTCACTGTACAATAAGCACTGGACTGCTCACCACAAGGTCAGCAGTTCAAGCCCACCAGTTGCTCCTTGGAAACTATACAGTATCACTGAGTCAGAAACAGCAACAGCAACGTGGTGGTGTGGTGGTTAAGCACTTAGCTTCTAATCAAAAAGCTGGTGGGTCAAACCCACTCATAAAGCCTAGGAAACACTATAGGGCAATACTACCTGCCCTATAGGGTCTCTGTTAGTCAGAATTGACTTAATGTCAAAGATGAAAACAAGCAATTTTTCTCAAACTGCAATTTAGAGTAGCTCACTATTTCATGGAGTCCTTTGGTGGCACAAACAGTTGATGCATTCAGGTGTCAACCTAAAGTTTAGACGTTGAAGTCCACCCAGAGAGACTCAGAAGAAAGGCTTGGCAATCTGAAAAGTCAGTCATTAAAAACCCTATGGAACACAGTTCTCTGACACACATAAAGGCATTTTACAAACCCCCTGAATAATAAGCATTGTAAATTTGCATCTTCAAATTTTCATAAGTGTGTTTTTTTTGTTGTTTAAAACAAGCTTTAGAGAAATTTGAATTCTGGATTTTATATAGAATTTTCTCTTAAGTAAGGGCATATCTACTGATGACCTTGATTTTCTAGGTTCTTTTGGTGTCTAGTTGTGTATTATAGTCTTGTGTCCAATAAAGTAGCTATTCCTCCCGGAGCAATAAGCATTTCATTCCACTTCCAGGGCCCCAGGTGTTCAATTTGGAGACTTTCATTTATTCAATACTCATGAGCCATCAATGGCCAGGCACTAACTACTCCATGTGCATTCTACATGTGTAGAAAGATGACTGGTGACATGCCAAGGAATTTAATACCTAGAAAGAGCATACGGAGACCTGGTAAATGATCCAGTTCCACTACTGGGTAAGTAAGGGTCATGCTTTATTAATACTCGAATCGCCTCACGCCTGCACACTCTTAGATCCATGTACAGCAGGTGCTCAGCAACTCTGTTACGTTATTTACTTCTCTAGCCCATCAGACACGCTCTGTGGGGGTTTATATGTAAATAACTCTTGAATTTACCTAGAGTTTGCCTGAAGTGAGGTCTAAATGCAACATCGAACCAGCTGAGGTGTTTTCTAGGAATGTGGATTCATTTGAATGTTGACATCAGAAAAACAATCAGGAAGAGGCAGGTTACAGAGTTGAAGTATGTATATTCCTAAGTGTTATGGATTGAACAACAACAACAATGGATTGAATTGTTGTTTTTGTTGTTAGGGGCCATCAAGTCGATACCGACTCATAGGGACCTTATGCATAACAGAACGACACACTGCCTGGTCCTGGGTCAACCTCATGATTGTTGCCACACGTGAGCCCATCGATGCTGCCACTTTGCCAATCCATCTCACTGGGGGTCTTCCTCTTTTTCTCTGACCCTCCACCTTACCAAACACGATATCCTTCTCCAGCAACTGGTCCCTCCTGACAATATGTCTGAAGTATGAGAGATGAAGTTTGGCCATCCTGGTCTCCAAGGAGCACTCTGGCTGCACTTCTTCCAACACAGATCTGTTGGTTCTTTTGGCAGCCCATGACACTTTCAACATTCTCCTCCAACAACCTAACTTTGAATTGTGTCCCCACAAAATATGTGTTGTGAAGCTTGTCATCTACTGCATACAGTGGCATTGGTTCCAACTTACAGTGACGCTAGATAGGATTTCTGAGACTGTAAATCTTTACAGGAGCAGAGAAAGCCTCAATCTTTCTCCAGAGGAGAGGCTAGTGGATTCAAACTGCTGACTTTATGGTGAGCAGCCCAACATATAACTCACTATGCTACCAGGGTTCATTAAGCAGCCATCTAAGGTACAAATATTCGTTACTCCCTGTCGGAGCAAAGAAGAGTGCTGAAAATCAAAGGCACATGAAAACAAAGGACTCATGGGCTATGTGAACCCCAGCCTCCCTGATCCTGAGACCAGAAGACAGTGGCCAGCTACCACTGCCAACAGTTTTGACAGGGATTACGGTTAGAGGGCCTGGGTAGAGTGGGAGAAAATTGTAGAACAAGATTCAACCCATAGAAAAAGACCAAGTCTACTACACTGATAAAGACTGGTGGAGTCCCTAATCTTCCTTCAATCCTGGAAGTGAATTCACCCCAGTGGCCCAACTGTCAACCAAACAATACACAGGCCTATGAGGTATGAGTCTTGGTGTGGTACTGTGGGTTAACACGCTGGACTGCAAGATTGAACCACCAAGTCAGAGGTGAGTCAGCGGTTCAAGCTCACCAGCCGCTCTTTGGAAACCTTACACAGGGTCATGATGGGTCGGAAGCGAATCGACGGTACCTAATAACAATAAGGTGAAGAGAAACACCAACCTTAGATCAAAGGGGCAGTGTATGCTCAGGGATAAAGCTCAGAAAGCAGGAAGGGATAGGGAAGAAGGACAAATGGAAACAGTGAACACAAGGAGGAAATGGGGAGAATCCTGTTATACTGTGAGGATTGCAGTCAGCGTCAGGAATCAAAATGTGTCTGAATCATCGTTGAATGGAACACCAATTTGTGATGTAAACTTTCACCCAGATCACACACACTTGAACAGTACATCCTGTTGATGTGGTTGATAGTGACTCTGTAGGACTGAGTAGAATCGCTCTTTAGGATTTCTAAAACAATACATCTTTCAGGGGCAGATAGCCTAATGTTTCTCCAGAAAAAATTATCAACTATCTGTACTTGGTGGATTTGAATCATCGACCTTACTTAGTTAGGGGCTGATTACCAGCCCAGTACATAACTCACTACAATGCCAAGGCTCCTTTGTATATAAAAATATAGATGTTGTTGTTGTCAAGTGCCAAACAGTTGGTTCCAACTCTATGGCAGCCTTGTATAAGATTTCTAAGCAGCCTTATATAGCAGCCTTGTATAAGATTTCTAAGGCTGTAACATTGCAGGAAAAGAAAGTCTGATATTTTCCCCAAAGACTGGAACTACTAACCTTGTTTCCAGTCCAGTGCACACCCTACAAAACCACCTAAAAAAACACAGTAGGTGCCATGGAGTCGATTTTGACTCAGTGACCCTGTTAGGGTCTCCTAGGGTGTAAATCTTCACGGGAGCAGAAAGCTTCATCGGTCTCCCACAGAATAACTGGTGGACTCGAACTGCTAATCTGCGGTTAGCAGTGCAGTACTTATCATACAGAGCTACCGTGCTCCCCAGAACACTTCTGGGAGAGTTCAAAGAGCCAACCTATCAGCTAGTAGTCCAGCGCTTAATCCTTTGCACCAACAAGGGATTCCCGACTCAATTGTTGTTGTTCCGACCCACAGAGATCCTATATAGGGTTTCTGAGGAGTGGCTAGTGGATTTGAACAGCCAACCTTTTGGTTAGCAGTCCAGTGCTTATCCTACAGTGCCACACCAGCAATCTTTATTATATACGTTGTTGTTAATTGCCATTGAGTCTCTTCGGACTCATAGGGACCCCGTATAGGGTTTTCGAGCAGTAGCTGGTGATCTTGAACCGCCGACCTTGAGGTTCAAACCGACTTTGCGGTACAGTGCATCGACCCACAGTGCCACACCAGGATTATTCCATATCTGTCTATCTATCTAGATATGTAAAGGAGCTCTGGTAGCGTAGTGCTTAGGAATGGGGCTGTGAACCGCAAGGTCAGCAGTTTGAAACTACCAGCTGTTCCATGGGAGAAAGATGAGGCTTTCTGCTCCCATAAAGATTTACAGCCTTGGAAACCCTGTACAGGGTCGCTATGAGTCGGAACCGACTCATGGCACATAACAACATATGTGTAATTATTTAGAGTCCTGGTGTGGCGCTGTAAGATAAGCATTGGATCACAATATAGTTTGAATTTCAAGGTCGGCGGTTCAAACCCACCAGTCGCTCCACGGAACCCACTCGAAGGCATTTAACAACAAGAAATCATGAATTGCAGTAACATTATTAAGGCCAAGTCCCTGGAATCCCCTGTACTCAGTCCCACGCTCAATAAGCTTGGAGACCGGTCTCTATGATCCTTATGGAACTCTATGGTCTCACGCGGCTGTGACCCCGGAAGCGATCCTGAGAGAGCAGGCGGGAAAATGGCGGCGCGAGCAGTTCTTGGAGCCCTAGGTCGGCGCTTTTGGCAGGTATTGGTGTTTTGGGGGTGTTCTGAGAGTGTCGGTGGGGACAGTTGCCACTAAATCTCTGATCCGCCTGCCTCTCTACCCATCAGGAGCCTCCCCTAGATTTATTTCGCTCCTCAGCCCGATATTTACAAGGAATAGAGGGAGAAAGGGGCTAGTTTTATCTCGCGTTCTCTCAATGAGATGAAACAGATTAGTGAATCAAGACTAAACACAGGAAGAGGACTCTTAGAACCTGTCCCTGGTAAAGTGGAAGATCAGCGAGAAAAAGGAAGACTCGTAACGAAATGAATGAATGCAGTGGCAGCAACAATGTTCCCAAACATAGCAATAGTGAGGATGGCTGAGGACCCGGCAGAGGGTCGCTGAGTCGGAACTACTCCCCCGCACCAGCAACTGTTGTTGTTGTTAAGTGCCATCGAGTCGGGTCCGACCCATAGCGACCCTGTACAGGGTTTCCGAGGGTGTAAATCTTTACGGGAGTAGAAAGTCTCATCTTTCTCCCGCGGAGCCGCTGGTAGTTTCGAACCGCTGACCTTAAGGTTCGCAGCCCGATTCGTAACCACTACGCTACCAGGACACCCCTGTAAACATTTGCAAAACGAACAAGCTCTGAGTGGACCGGAAGCTTGCCCGGGGAAAATTAGGGGCGTAACTGGCACACAATTTCAGACACTTCCCTGAAAACCACGGAATCGGTTCCGATTCATAGCGACCCTGTATAGGGTTTCCGAGGAGCGATTGGTGGTCTTGAACTGCAAGCAGTGCTGATCCCACACCGGGGGTTCTGAAATTTAGATGACAGTTGATGAAGTAAGAAGGTTGATTTAGATAACTTCTGATTGTTTTTCTTTGGAGGAGAAGCAAAATAGTAAGCAGCTGTTTTCTAGTCTTTTGGCCTCAGGACCCCCTTAAGTTGTAAAAGTGATTTAAGACTTTCAAAGAGCCTTTTAATTTTCTTGTAGCTTTGGCTACTGTATTTACCTTGTTGGGAAATAAAACAGAATCTTTAAAAAGGCTTGTTCATTTAAAAGTAACAAAATCAAGTGCTAATATAATTAACATTTCTTAGGGAAAATAACTTTTTCTAAACAGAAACATTGAGTGAGAAGAATGGCAATGTTTTACATTTTTGCAAATATCTTTAATAGAAAACCCCTGAATTCTTATCTCTACTTCAAATTCAGTCTATTGCTATATGATAGTCATGCAACCCTTGAGACACTTCACCAATGGTAGTGGGTTTGGTTTTGTGCTAAAATGATATTCTCATCTCCAAAGTATTTTAAAGGATGTTGCTGTGCTTCTGTGGAGTTCTAGTGTGGCGCCGTAGGATCAACATTGGACTACTATCCACAAGGTGGCAGCGGTTCAAACCCACCAGCCGCACCTTGGAAACCCTATACAGGGTTACTATGAGTCAGATTGAGCTCAGCAGCACTTTGCAACAATAACAACATTGTGTTTCTGAAAGAGCCCTGGTGGCTCAGTGGTTAAATGCTCAGCTGCTAACCCAAAGGTCAGCGGTTCGAATCCATCACTGACTCCATAAAAGAAAACATCTGGTGATATGCTCCCGTGAAGGATTTCAGCCTAGGAAACCCTATGAAGCAGTGCTCTGCTGTCATACTGGTTACTCTGAAGTGGAATCCTCTGGACATTCCAACGCGACAGCATTGTGTTGTACTCTATCATGTCTCACTTTTTCATCTCAGGAGAGCACAGGTCGTTGATGAGCTACCTATTATACTCATGTATACTCAACCCAATACACTGCTGTTAGGAAGATTCCAACTCATCGCAACTCTACAGGACAGCTAGAACTGCCCCATGGATTTCTGAGCGTGTAACCCTTTACTAAGCTGACTGTCACATCTTTCTCCCTTGGAATGGTTTGTGTATTTGGTTGGCAGCCAAGTGCTTTGAGCAGTATCCCAACAGAGCTCATAACCTCCTGCTGTTAAGTCATTTCTGACTCATAATGACCTTATGTAGGGTTTCTAAAACTGAATCATTGTGGGACCGGACGGCCTCATCCTTCTCCCAGAGCAGTTGGTGGGTTTGGAGCACTGACCTGTCCTCTAGCAGCCCAGCACCTAACCCACAGCATCACCAGAGCTCCTTAAGCTTATGTGTTCAGTGCCATCGAGTCAGTTCCAACTCAGCGACCCTAGATAGGGTTTCCAAGGAGCAGCTGTTGGTTTTGAACCACTGACCGTAACCATTGTTGTTGTTGTTAAGTGCTGTCGAGTCGGTTCCGACCCATAGCGACCCTGTACAGGGTTTCCGAGGGCGTAACTCTTTACGGGAGTAGAAAGCCTCATCTTTCTCCCGCGGAGCTGCTGGTAGTTTCGAACCGCTGACCTTAAGGTTCGCAGCCCAATTCGTAACCACTACGCTACCAGAGCTCCTGACCATAACCATTAGTCCAGTGTTTATCCTACAGTGCCACACCAGTACTTATTAAGTGCTGTTAAATTAGTTCCAACTTATAGCGACCCTATATAGGGTTTCCAAGGAGCATCTGGTGAATTTGAACCACCAACCTTGCAGTTCAAACCAACATTGCAGTTGAGTAGTTATCCTACAACACCACACCAAGACTCCAGTACCTATGTAGTACCATACATTTCTAAGGAATCCTGGTGTGGCACTGTAGGATAAACACTGGATTGCTAACCACAAGGTCAGCAGTTCAGCGCACAAGCTGTTCCTCAGAAACCCTATGCAAGATTATTGTGAGTCAGAACTGACTCCATGGCATTTAATAATACATTTCTAAAGCTAGTTTTCTACAGCCAGGGGCACTAACAATAAGGGTTTAATAACACTGAATTGTTGCAGTTTGTAGTACGTAGATAGTAATGAATGTAAAAGACCGTGTATAATTTAATGTGTTTATAAACAAGTTATCCCAGTTAAGCCAAGCAACACATATGCTGGAGAAGGTGTATATGAAAGCTTCCAAAGAAGTGTACTGTTGAATTCTTATTCCAGCTGTTAATAAATTAGGTTACACAGACACTTCATTTTTTCACTGATCAAAAATATTCCAGCAAAATAGTATATTGACATTTGCTTAATATGGAGAAAATTGGAATCACATATTATGTTATTTTATTCCTTGATGTCTGCATGGTTAATTCATAGCTGTTCTTTTAATGTGAAAATTGCCTTTTAAAAAAAAGTTCTTGCTCCAGAGCTTTAAGAGATAGATTCTATAATATTTTAAGAATGCTTTTAGATGATCAACTATCATTGTCTTTTTTTTTTTTTTTAATGAAATCTAATTTGACCATTTTAGTTGGACCATCTCTTTGTCTGACATAATCAGCTGTCCCTTGATTTAAAGCATCATATGTCTTTTGATACATGAATGGTTTGGGGACTGCCTTTAATTTTAACACTACCCCCTGCTTCCTTTTTTTTTTTTTTTAAGGATCCAAGGAATTTTTCTGTGAGTGGTTCTAAGAGCAGCACAGCCAGAAATGGTGGCTTTCTTCTGTAAGTGGAAACATGGAAATGCTAAATTGGACAATACCATGAATGGGCTCTTGCATTGTTTACTTAGATTTCATATTTCTCTCCCCCACATGTAGCAGTACCAACCTGAAGTGGGTACAGTTTTCAAACCTACACATAGATATTCCCAAGGAGTTGACCAAGCCTATGGTATGTACTTACTCCCTATTTCTGGGTTTTAGGAATTATATTAGCAATAAATTTTCCTCGTTATTTCATATGAGGTTATTTCCGTAACAGTTTAGATATTAAAACAATTTTTTTGGGGTGGTGATAATACTAGCAATTGCACAGTGTGCCTGAGTGAACTGTTCCTTGATGTCCCTGGGTACTCATATTTCAAGATAAATTCTAAAAGAATAAATTATTTATTCAAAGTAAATGGAAAATAGCAGTCCCTTGGCTCTTGGCTCAGCGTAATGTAAAAGTGTTTGATTTGTCATAATGATGCAAAATGCTTGATGTTACATGATGTTGTAGGTTCTAGAAAAGTACATTTCTTGTAGCCATCAAGTGTGTTTTCATATTAAGACGTTGGGCTGGGACCCAGGCATGGACAGTGCTTTATGTTCATAGTAAGAGAGAACAGTGGCACAATGGAAAGTCCTAAACCTCCTGTAACTTGGATTCCTTTGGTATAAGCCACGGCTGAAAATCCTTACTACTTAAAGTGTCTGCCTGTAGATCTGTATGGCATAAATAGTCCCTACCTTCTAATTCCAGCTGTTGAAATCACCACCATCAGCAGTGGTGGAACCTTAAGGACATTTGTTGATATGTAACTGTTTATGCACGAGAGAGATTCAAAAAGTTCATGGAAAAAATAGCTTTATCTTTTCATTCCTTTTTTCTGAGAACTTTTTGAAGCCCCCTCAAATTTCCATGACAGTTTATATAATCCAGGCATCCATTTCATTTGCCTGTAGGGGCTAGGCTTGTCAGGCTTGTCATGAAAGAAGGCAGTGGGCTCAGTAGCAGGCCCTGTAGAAGTGAGGCAGCTACTACCTTGATCACTTTGAGCATTTTCCACACTAAACTGAGCATTCACATTTTTATGTGGATTATGTCTTCTGATTTTTAATACTGGTAAAAAATTCAGAATTTCTTTTAAACCCTATAGGGACCAAGCAAAACATGCCTTAGGGGTGTGTTCCCCCTCCTGTGTGCTCTGGCTTGTGGCATATGATATCAGTATATTCTCTTCTTCCATGAACTCTGTTTGGGGTAACTGGGAGCTTCCTATTTAGTAAATAAATCTCTTTCAAAGGTGAGGTAACTTAACCCTGAATCATTGGATTAGTAATAGAAATTACAGGCTTAATGGATGAATAGAGTGAGGTAATTCACCTCTTAGAAGAAAGTCAGAAATGTCAAACCCATTATTTCTAAGGTAGAAGAGGTAGATGAGCTGTGTGTAGCAGTTTAATTAGAAATGAATAATTTGTAGGTTAGGACAGGTAATCCAGACATGAATGAAACCTAGTTAAAAAAAAAATAATATGAAGAGCAGCAGCTCACCTTTGTAACATAGTGTATTACCATCTATAAACACGTTAGCCTGTGTTGTCATATGTTCCTTACAGAAATGCTGTGAGCTATAGCATAGTTATTATCCTGTGGTAAGTATGAGGAAACTAAAGTGCAGTGAGATTAAATGGCTGGCCCGTTGTCACTTGTCTAGAAGTGACAGAGTTTCATTCTGAATCTAGCTGTTAACAGATCCTAGAATCTTTCTCATTGTGTATTTGGGGCTCAGTAAGTGTGAAGTTGGAGAGTGTCCATTGTGATTGTGTAGGCTGTCTTGAAGTCACTGTAATAGAGTCTGACGATCACTGTGCAGGACTTAATGTGACAGTATCTAGATGTTAAACAATGTTAAGAGGTTACTTAGCCTTTTCTTCCCCTTTGATAAGTAAATGCTTAGTTATTCAATTGAAGGTGATATGTTAATGTTTACTAGTTATCAATGTTAGACTGAAACTTATCTTTTGATTTTAAAATTATAGATAACCATTTCTGATGAGCCAGACACATTATATAAGCGCCTGTCAGTTTTAGTGAAATGCCATGATAAGGCTGTATTGGACAGTTACGAATATTTTGCTGTGCTTGCTGCTAAAGAGCTTGGTATCTCTGTTAAAGTGTAAGTATAACCTTCCCTAATCTGACCTGGGGAGTCCTGGTGTGGTGCTGTAGGATAAGCACTGGACTACTAGCCACAAGGTCAGCAGCTCAAACCTACCAGCCACTCTTAAGAAACCTGTTACAGAGTTGCTCTGAGTAAGCACCAGACTGCTAACTGCAAGACTGGTAGTTTAAACTCATCAGCCGTTCCACTGAAATCCTTTACAGGGTCACTGTGAGTCAGAACCCACTCGAATGCACTTAACAACAACAATCTGACCTAGTAGTTATGGTCATATGGTCAACCAGGAAAATGGTGCTGATCCCTGAGAAGCCCGAGCTCTTAAAATGGGTCAGAGACTCATGCTAGAGTGAGTTTCCATTTATTGTGTAGTATCAACAGAATTAGCCATTCCCAACTTCTAGACTTAAATACCAGGATGCATGAACAAGAAAAACGTGGGCAGTCTTTTTCCCTGGAGATTGCACAGATGAGAAACCCTTGTGACTGGGGTCTCCGTGGGCCTGGGAGGTGGACTAGGTAAACAAGCAATCATTTAGGCTTCTTGGATTTGATGATCTTTTGTTTCAAATCTGCCCTAAGACCTACCACCCACCATGCATGAGCAATGTGGACTTCATGTGTTCTTTATATCACTGTAGGGTCAAGCAGAATTGCTTCCTGTATCTTGCCATCTATTCCTTGTGGTGCCAGATAAGGCCTGATAGGGCTTTGCCCTTCTTGCCCTCTGAGAAAAACACAAGGAACTTAACACTTTTTCTGAAACACGGCCTATAACCTTGTGATTTTTGGTTAATCTGTAGGTTTTTCTAAAACAAAAAAGGTACAACAGACAGTGCATTGGGTCCAACACACTTATACTGTTCGTCATAATTCATATATTTGGTCAATATGGAACTTAAAGAATATAAAACAGCAGTCATGTTTGTGTGTATACATCTAGATGCCAGCACGCCTATCCATTTGGGTCTGTGGAAGAATGTTCCTGTTGCTGTGTGTAGTGTTTGTTTTGATCTTAATGACGGCAGTTGTTAGGATGACAGCCTTGGTAAATGGAAGTCTGTAAACTGAAGTTAATGCCTATAATTGAGTGTGAGCATGACCTACACAGTTTGGAATCATGCCTTGATATCAGTGACTCAGGCTTTAACATCAGTTAGCTTACGTGTATTATCTTGCTCATTCATTTTCAGACATGAACCTCCAAGGAAAATAGAACGATTTACACTTCTCAAATCAGTACATATTTTCAAGAAGCACAGAGTCCAGTATGAAATGAGAACACTTTATAGGTGTTTAGAGGTAAGTTTATTTTAGACATGAAACACATTGTAGCATCCTTTAAATGCTCCCCAGTTTCAGACTAGTGTATCATATCTTGGGGTTGACTTCCTTTCAGTCAGTCCATGTCTGTTAGTCATCGTAAAGGGAACTGTCGTTTTTGTTCTTTATGACTCCGCAATTCACACTACTACTAATAAATTGCATGATAGTATTAAAATAATTTTGCTTATTGTGTGGCACGGTTGGATAAGCACTGGATGGGGAACCAAAAGGTTGGCAATTCAAACCTACCAGCCACTCCTCAGAAGCCCCATAAAGGGTTGCTATGAGACGGAACCATCAATTGCTCATATGCAAATTCAGACTGAAGCTGAAGAAGATTAAAACAAGTCCACGAGAGCCAAAATATGACCTTGAATATATTCCACCACCTGAACTTGGATATCATTTGAAGAACAGATTTGATGCATTAAACACTAAAGACAGAAGACCAGAAGAGTTGTGGGATGACATCAAGAACATCATACAGGAAGAAAGCAAAAAGTCATTAAGAAAACAAGAAGAAGGAAAAGATCAAAATGGATGTCAGAAGGGACTCTGAAACTTGCTCTCCAGTGCAGAGAGACTAAAACAAATGGAAGAAATGAGGAGGTACAGAGCTGAACAGGAAATTTCAAGGTCAGCTCAAGAAGACAAAGTCAAATTTTACAACAAAATGTGCAAAGATCTGGAGTTAGAAAACCAAAAGGGAAGAACACGCTTGGTATTTCTCAAACTGAGGGAACTGAAGAAAAAATTCAAGCCTCGACTTCGTTATTGAAGGATTCTCTGGGAAAATTATTGAATGATGCAGAAAGCATCAAAAGAAGATGGAAGGAATACACAGAGTCACTGTACCAAAAGGAAATGCTTGGTGTTCAACCGTTTCGAGAGGTAGCATATGATCAAGAGCCAATGATCCTGAAGGAAGAACTCCAAGGTACATTGAAGGATTGGCATAGAACAAGGCACCGGGAATTGATGGAATAAAAATAGAAAACTTTCAACAGAGTGAGGCTGGAGGTACTCACTCATCTGTGCCAAGAAATTTGGACGATAACTATGTGGCCAACTGATTGGAAGAGTATTTGTGCCCATTCCAAAGAGAGGTGACCCAACAGAATGTGGAAATAAACAATATCACTAATATCACATGCATGTAAAGCTTAACTAAAGGTAATACAGAAACAGCTGCAACCATACATTGACAAAGAACTTCCAGAGGTTCGAGCCAGATTCAGAAGAGGACGTGGAACGAGTGATACCACTGCTGACGTCAGATGGATCTTGGCTGAAAGCAGATGATATCAGAAAGATGTTTACCTGTGCTTTATTGACTACTCAAAGGCCTTCGATTGTGTGAATCATTACAAGCTATGGGAGACATTGTGAAATATGAGTATTCCGGAACACTTAATTGTGCTCATGAAGAACCTGTATGTAGACCAAGAGGCAGTTGTTCAAACAGAACACGGGAACACTGAATGGTTTAAAATTAAGATAGGTGTGTGACAGGATTGTATTCTTTTACCATACTTATTCAACCTGTATGCTGAACAAATAATCTGAGAAGCTGGGTTCTATGAAGAAAAACATGGCATAAGGATTGGAGGAAGACTCATTAACAACCTGTGATATACAGATGATAACAACCTTGCTTACTGAAAGTGAAGAGGACTTAAAATACTTACTGATGAAGATCAAAGAGCACAGCCTTCAGTATGGATTGCATCTCAATGTAAAGAAAACAAAATTCTTCACCACTGGGCCAATAAACAACATTCTTAGAAATGGAGGCAAGATTGAAGTTGTCAAAGACTTCATTTTTCTTGGATCAACCATCAACACTCATGGAAGCAGCAGCCAAGAAATCAAAACGATGTGTTACGTTAGGTAAATCTGCTGCACAAGACCTTTATAAAGTGTTAAAGAGCAAAGATGTCAGCTTGAGGACTAAGGTGCACCTGACCCAAGCCATGGTATTTTTAAAAACCTCATTTACATGCGAAAATTTGACAGTGAATAAGGAAGATCCTAGAAGAATTGATGCATTTGAGTTACGGTGTTGGAGAATATTGAAAGTACCTTGTGCTGCCAAAAGAACCAACAGATCTGTGTTGGAAGAAGTATATCCAGAGTGCTCCTTGGAGGTCAGGATGGCCAGACTTCGTCTCTCATACTTTGGATGTGTTGTCAGGAGGGACTAGTCACTGGAGAGGGATATCATGTTTTGTAAGGTAGAGAGAGGGTCAGAGAAAAAGAGGAAGACCCCCAGCAAGATGGATTGGCAAAGTGGCAGCATCAATTTGCTCTAGCGTGGCAACAATTGTGAGGTTAGCCCAGGACCGGGCAGTAGTTCATTTTGTTCTGCATGACAATGACACCTAACAACAACAATATAAGATGGAACTGACTCAACAGCACTTAACAAAAACCTTGTGAAATCGATAATGTTCTTACTCCCATTTATAGATGAAGAATTTAGGCGCAGGTTACATAGCTAGTAAGTCCTCGGACTTGGGCCTTGTTAGTTTGACTACAGAAGCCATGCTCCCCTTAACCACAGATGCCACTGATCCTAGGGGATGAACAGATGAGTGACAAACCTCATGCTGTGCACCATTAACATGGAAAATTCAGGTAGCATGTAAAAAGAATTAAAACTGTTTAGAACTAACTGTTGTTTTTAAGTGCCAACTCATAGCAGCCATGTATAGAGTTTCCAAAGAGTGACTAGTGGGTTTGAACCACTGACTTTTTTTATGTTACAGTGCCACACTAGGATTCCATATGATCCAGCAATTCCAATCCTTGTATATACACAAAAGAATTGAAAACAGATATTCAAACCAAAACTTGTACATATTCAAGGCAGCACTATTCATAATTACACAATATTCATAAAATGTAGAAATAGCCCAAATGCCCGTCAGCTGATAAATGGATACACAAAATGTATATCCATAAAATATTACTCAGCCCGAAAAAGAAATTAAGTACTGCTAAATACTACAACATAAGTGAACCTCAAAAATGCAATCCTCACTAAAAGAAGCCAGACACACAGAATTACGTATTGTATGATGTCTTTTTGTATGAACATCCATAATAGGCACATTAATAGAGACAAAGTAGATTAGTGGTTGCGGGGGCCTGGGGCTGAAGGGGTGTGAGGAGCAACTCCTTACTGGGTATGGGGTTTCCTTTTGGAGTGATGAAAATGTTCTAAAACTGGACAGTGGGATTGGTTGTACAACACTGTGAATGTACTAAATGCCACTAAATTGTACACTTCAAAATAGTTGATTAATGTTAACTGTAGTTTACCTCTGCTTAAAAAAAATTCTCTGCTTTAAGAGCATTGTTGTTACATGTTGTCAAGTCACTTACCACTCATAGCTACCCTGTGTAGGGTGAATTTTCAAGAAGTGGCTGGTGGGTTTGAACTGCTAACCTTGCAGTTCAATGTTAGCAGTTCAGTGCTTATCCTACAGTGCCACACCAGGCACCTCTTTTAACAGCATAACCTGAATCAATTTCACATTTGTTATTTTAGCTAGAACATCTAACTGGAAGTACAGCAGATGTCTACTTGGAATATATTCAGCGAAACTTACCTGAAGGGGTTGCCATGGAAGTCACAAAGGTATGACTTGAATTTCTCCCTGGGTTGAGGGGAGCATCTGCATTGTCCTTTTGATAGGTTGCTGCTTGGCACTGTCCCACTGAGAGCAGGGGAGAGCCTGTGGCAGACTGGGAAGCAAAGTTACCATAGTGGTTGAGGGTCTTCCCTACCTGTGCGCTGGTGTCAGCTCAGCAGAATCCTGCCCCTGCCAGCTCAAGTCCTCCCGCACACACCTCCTCAGAAATCTTCTCAGAGACCATGTCCAGTGGCAGTCCCTGGAGATCAGAGAGGATCAAATAGATTATAGAAGGGAGTACACTTCATGAAGTGTCTGGTTTCCTTCTCTGTTTCAAAGCCCTGCAAAAAGGTAAGGAAAGTCGAGAGGATTTGGAGGAACAAACTTAATAGATTCAGTCTGTGGCCAAAGTGTTGAGTAAGGCTACATGATATTATAGTTTCATGGGGTTTTTTTTTGTTTTTTTGTGTGTGTTTTAGACAAAATTAGAGCGGTTACCAGAACATATCAAGGAGCCAATCTGGGAAACTACGCCAGCAGAAAAAGAAGAAAGCAAGTCATAAAGTTCAGTGAGGCCATTTGTGACTGGGTTTGAACTAAGGATGGGCCAGATGTGTGTGGTTAAGTGGAGACTGCTTTGCTTCTAGCTGAAATAATGTTGGGTCCGCCTAACTCAGGGTTGGGGAACGTCCCGCCCACATGAGGCCTGTGAAATCATTTGGTCTGGCCCTGTCAAGACAACTGCAGTTCTAGCCATCACACTAAGGGTGAGTTAATTAAATGTTTGACTAAATATATCAGGCTAATTTTTAACTTGATTATTTTGTATGGCCCACGAATGATGTTATAAATTTTGGCAGAAAAATGTTTCCCCACCCCTGACCTAACTGCTGAGTCCATGTTCTCTGATCAGTAGCCAGCCAAAATGTAACTTTAATCCAGCTTCTCTGGATTTAAAAAAAAAAAAAAATACACATTATTATTTCAGATCGTACTTTAATAAATGTGAGCAACGTGTTTTGAGTACTGTCAGCCAAAAGAATCAAATCTTTATATCAGTTCATTCATCTGATAGTGAGTGACATATTTGGGCACATTTTTATTTGAAGTTCCAGGAAAGAAGCTTTGATTAATTTGGTCAATTTTCTGCAAACTTGAAAGTTGAACTTTTCTTAATTCCTTTAGTGACTAGCATATGCTATGTTGGGAATGGTGACCTCCAGCTTTACCTCATCTAAGCATTAAAAATCTTGAAAACGAATAGACTTTGTGGCAGATCAGGCACATCTGTGACATGCACTGAACCTTCTTGTGGCTCTAACCCTTCCAGGACAGCCTGTGACAGGTTACTGTAAGGACGTGAAGCTCTCATGAAATGACTACTTACATCATTTCATTCATCCTGTGAGTTACTCATTCAACAAGATTGCATATTGTATACTTTACCCCCAGCACTGTAGTAAACATCAAAAACTGAATACAAGTAATAGTCCTTGAAAACTGTACAATGCATAGCAATTTTTCCTTGATTCGTTCCCCTACTAATAGCAATCCCTTCTTTTGGTGAATGGTACTCTTTGGGCTTGCAGATGTCTACTATTCCATGAAATTGAACTGTAGTTAAAGCACTGAAAGAGGCAAGACTACACAGGGTAGAAACAGTGGTGTATCAACCCCAACAGAGTGAGGCAGCTCCTTTTACAGCAGAGGCAGCCCAAGTCTGTGTGCTGTCCTTCACATCTTTTAGGGTAGATAGGACTTTTCCATTCCCCCCCTAAACTGGACTGCCTGTTCTCAATCTACTATCCAGTATCAGTGTTTTGAATACATACCACTAATGCTTGAGATTTACTTTGCTGTCATTAACATGAAAAGAATTGCATCCCTGTGCCTTGTGGCCTTATTCTTTCTATAGCTCAGTTGGTGACTGTCATTCACAAATGACCAAAGCAGAAATCCCAAGAATGAATCTTAGGATAAAAAAAAATTGGTCAGTGACCACTCTGATTGGGATCACAATAAAAGATCCTAGACAGAGTGTGAAAAAATGTAGAACAAAATTTAAAATCATAAGAAAGACCAACTTAGTTGTCTAATAGAGACTGGTAGAACCTCTGATAACACTATGACCATAAAACACCCTTCAAACAGGGAGTAAACCTAGTCCCTGAGATCACTTTTCAGCCAAAAAAAAACAGTAATGACACCTGTGAGGAACATGCTCCTCAGAACCGTCAACCATACAAGACCCAAAGGGAAGCATTTGCTCAAAAACAATTCATAAGCCAAGAAGGGGCAGGGAAGATCGACAACTGAAGACAGGAAACCCTGGGAGGAAAGGGCAAGCAAGAGTGCTGTTACATTGAGAGGATTGCAACGAATGTCACAAAACAGCATGTGTGTAAATTATTGCTTGGAAAACTCATTTGCTCTGTAAACTTTGACCCAAACCACAGTAAAATGTTGAGAGAGGGAGAGAAAATGGTTAAACAAGTGAGCAGAGCAGAGGTAGGGGAAGATGGATGACACCAAGGCACATGGAGCTCTCCAAGAAACCAGGAAACAAGTGATGACACACAGACTTTCTCAATGACAAAGCCTTCTTCCCCTGGAACCAGTGCCCTGAATACTTAGACCTCTAGCCTCTGAGAAAATCAATTCCTGTGTGTTAAAGCGAAAAAAACCACACAACTAGTACAGCAAGAGCAGTGCGTTGGTAACTATGTCTACCAAAGTACAATTCATGATACATTTTACTTTAGAAGAAATAATAGTTCTTTAAAAATATAAACCCACACCTGAGCTGTTTTTTGTGGCTTTCACAGACAGTATAAATCACTATGTTAAAACAGGATGATTGGCGTACACTCACCTAGAGTAACTCCCCTGTGAGCACCTTCAAAAGTGAGCATCTACCTCCAGATTAAACATAAATAACCTGCAAACCAGATGACTTAAATGAGCACTTCAAGTGATAACATTAAAATCTTCCACTAAATAGATAAATTGCTAAGTACAAAAATTAGCATAGTTTCCTTGATAAAACTATTAGGCATGTATAAAGCCTATTTCTTGATCTGTAAGCAGCATGATTTTAATAGTCTGAGACAGTTTTAAAGGATAATATGGGTCTCAATAAAGTGCATATCCTGAAAATTAGAATGAATGCCCAGGTAGAGGGTGGGAGGTGTTGAGAGAAGAATGGACCTGTGTCTCGAAAGAGCCGGAGACAGTAGAATGTGAGATGATTTTTTATTCAAGAGTAGCCCTTAATTAGGAGCCTTGGTGTGGTGCTGTAGGACAAGCACTGAACCACAAGGTTGGTAATTCAAACTTACCAACTGCTCCTTGGAAACCCTATCTATACAGGGTTGCTGTGAGTAGGAACCAACTCAACAGCACATAACAAGCTCTTAGTTTATTGCTGTCATATATCTATTTGACAAAAGCTTTAAAGTCAATCTAAGAATTGTAAAAAGGTTTTTCAGCTTAACTTCATCCCTCAGTACTAAGGGTACTTTTTTTAAGTAAGATAATTGTCAATTAAATTAAATGCTTATTCAACGTATCACTGTCCCTAGTTGTCATTTCCATAGCAAGTCACTAACCCACTCTTCACTTCTCAGCCTGGTTAGGCTCCACAGAATGGCATTATGTAAAAATGCGTGTTCTATGAAAATGGGTGTGACACATTATTACATAGCTTCCAGACCATGGCCAACCAAGTTAACACATAACCTTAACCATCACAGCCAGTGTTCCTCTCACCTCCCACCTCAGGGTTGTTACTGCGACATGCACCTCATGAAGGCACAAAGTAGTCACATTTTTTACTATTGTCGTAAATGTGAGATGTCAGATAACAAGATAGTTGACGGTGAAGCTGATTTCTCTGACCAGAAGTGTATTTTCATAATAAAAGCATTTCAGTCTTTTTAAATACCTGTGTCTTGACAATACCATTTATACAATTGATATCCTCATTTCGCCCCATTTATGTTCTGTCCTTCCCTTTGCAACATTGCTTTTATGTATAAGTAATTGATATGACTCTTTAATCCTTAGAATGTCATTAGTGTGCTTTCAAAGAGAATTGTGTATTTGACCATCTGAACATGTCACAATAAGTATATAAAGCAGTTCATTTAAAACATTCTCATTTGAAGCAAGCATCCTTTTTCTATATTGTAAAATTGTTTTTAGCTTTGTTGTTGCTGTTATCTGCTGTTGACTCTTCTCTGACTCATAAAGACCCTATCCTGTGCACAACAGAAGGAAATACTGCCCAGCCCAGCGCCATCCTCAGCAGGTGTTAGAGTTGAGCCCATCGCTGCTGACACTGTGCCAATCCATCTCATTGGGGGTCTTCCTTTTTTACACTGACCCTCCACTGTACCACGTATGATGTTTTTCTCTCTAGGGACTCGTGTCGCCCGACAACATGTTTTATGTATGAGAAATGAAATTTAGCCATCCTAGCGTCAAAGGAGTATCCTGGCTGTACTCCTTACAACACAGATTTGTTTGTTCTTCTGGCAGTCCATGGTTCTTTTAACACTTCTCCAGCACCATGACTCAAGTGCATCAATTCTATGGTCTTCCTTATTCATATGTCCATGTATATGAAGCTATTGAAAATACCCTGGCTTGGGTCAGGTGCACCTTAGTCCTCAAACTGATACCTTTGCTCATGAACACTTTGAAGAGGTCTTATGCAGTAGATTTGCCTAATGCAATCCATTGCTTGATTTCTTGACTGCTGCTTCCATGAGTGTTGATGGGGGGATCTAAGCAAAGTGAAGCCTGACTACTTCAATCTTTTTTATCATGATGTTACTGATCCATTTGTGAGGTACAACTCTTACCAAAGGCTGTGGTTTTTGATCTTCATTAGTAACTATTTAAAGTCCTTTTGGCTTCCAGCAATCAAGGTTGTATCATCTACATCTCAAAGATTGTTAATGAGTCTTCCTCTGATTCTGATGTCATGTTCTTCATATCCACCTTCTTGGATTATTTCCTCAGCATGCATATTGAATAAGTATGGTGAAAGGATACAAACCTGGTGTGCACCTTTCCTGATTTTAAGCCATTTAGTGTCCCCTTTTTCTGTTGTAATGACTGCCTCTTGGTCTATGTACAGGTTCCTCATGAGCACAATTAAGTGTTCTGGAATACCCATTCTTTGCAGTGTTATCCATAGCTTGTCATGATTCACACAGTCAAAAGTCTTTGCATAGTCAAAGCACAAGTAAACATCTTTTTGGAGTCCTGGTGTGGATAAGAACTGGACTACTGACCACAAGGCTGGTGATTCAAACCCACCAGCTGCTCTTGGAAACCCTATGCAGGGTCACTATGAATCTGAACCAACTCAATGGCATTCAATAACAGCAACAAACATCTTTCTGGTACTACCTGCTTTCAGCCAAGATCCATCTGACATCAGCAATGGATATACTTCGTTGCACATCTTCTGAATCTGGCTTGAAATTTTGGCAGTTCCCAGTCAATGCACTGTTGCAGCCGTTTTTAAATTACCTTCAGCAAAATTTTACTTGCATGTGATAATAATATCAGATGATTTCCACATTCTGTTGGGTCATCTCTCTTTGGAATGGGTACAAATATGGATCTCTTCAATCAGTTGGCCAGATAGCTGTCA